CCGGACAGTTTCTATTTTTGTACGCACGCGAAATTCTGGTGTAAATATTACTATTATTATTATTGTGTATGAGACGAATTCTACTTGTGTGTGTGTGCAAGATGACGGAGAGCAACAACGTTTGGATGAAATATATATATGTTTGAAGACGCGCAGAGAGATGGGCTGTAGTTATATTACATAATAAAACAAACGAACAAAATATGAATGCGTTTGGAATGAAATGAAAATGGATAGGAGGCGACGACTAAAGAGTTGAGAGAACAACAGTACACGCGCGTTTCTGTATTATATAGTTTAATAACACTTCCAAATGGATTATATCGCATCGATTATATAAAGAAAATTGTAAAGAATCAAACAAATAATAAGAATGGTTATTTTTAAATATATTATATATATATATATATAAATAAATATAAACATGTGCACGTTTCTTTATGGTTACTAAGCAACATAGCATGTGCGGTTTGTTGCGCTGTTATTTATCCACCATGACATTCCTTTGTTTTTCCTTTTCTCAATTGTTTTATGAACGTTGCAGGTTCAGGAAACACTGAATGAACACCAGAGGTCAGTATCAACATTTATTACGTTTTCTGCATCGACAGTAGAAAGTATTTAATAATATTTAAAAATTTTAAGGCATTTTTTCTTTTTGGTAAAGTTATTACGTTTAAAACAATTTGTGCGATTATTTTGATGTCCAAGAGATGGTGCTTTAATGTCATCAATTTTACATTCGTAAGTTCGTTAACGATTGATCGAAAAGTTAAGAATTTGATTAATTATGAATTAAGACTACTTGGAATTTCTTAATGAGAGCAGCGCCAAAACGGCTGAACTTTCTTCTAGATGAGAGAACCGAAAGATGGTGTAGGTTTACTTATTTATTTAATTCAGCTCTATCTCTTGGCATTATCGTGAAGCTTGTAGTTCACCAACTTTGGCGCTCTATCAATTTGCTTTTCGTTTTTTTTTTTTACACTTTAATTGATTTATGTAATTACCAAAACGTTAATTTTTTATGTTAAAATGTCTTTATTTCACCATCAGTCGCAAGATCTTGAAAGTCCGAGATATTAAATGATTATTGTTTATTTGATCATAGTATAATTGCCCGACAACCGAAATCCCGACTATATCGAAATCCCGACTATGTCAAAATTCTGACTACCATAATCCCGACAGAGTCTTCTAATATTATAAATTTCTACAATAACATTTTTATGGTAGTTGGGATTTCGTTATAGTCGGAATTTTGAGCAAGCCGGAATTTCGATATAGTCGGGATTTAAATACAGTCGGGATTTTGAGCCAACTGGGATTTCGATATAGTCGGGATTTTAACGTAGTCGAGATTTCAAGTGTAGGGATTTAAATACAGTCGGGATTTTGAGCCAGCCGGGATTTCGATATAGTCGGGATTTTGAGCCAACTGGGATTTCGATATAGTCGGGATTTTAACATAATCGAGATTTCAAGTGTCGGAATTTAAATACAGTCGGGATTTTGAGCCAGCCTGGATTTCAATATAGTAGTGATTTTGATTGTCGGGATTTCAAGCGTCGGAATTTTAGTACAGTCGGGATTTGAATAGACGATATAGACCTATAATTGTATAATATAATTTATGACTCATACATATCTACAAATTAACTTAATGTACTTTTAAATATAAAAAAAAAACATCTAATTAATACAAATTAATGTTAAGTTATACAATAAAGTCGAATAAGGTCTAAATTTTTGTTTATAAAAATATTTGTTTCAATAATTTATATCGATAAGTTCATAAGACAATCAATTTTATTATAAAGACAAACATTGGTTTCATTTTTCTTTAAAAGATATTTTCAACAGTTATTTACTTGACGTGATAATGAACTGTGAAAATACGTGTTGAAGATTTTTGTTGTTGTTGTTGTTAAGGAATATTGATGATATATTTTTTTGGCACGTGACTCTGGCGAGAGCTAAGCCAGAGGAAAAGATCACCAGACCTTCTTCAATCGGCAAACGTTACGTTCACGGCGCGTTCAGAGTGCCGTTCTGCAGGTTGAGCAGCGGCGAGATTTGCTTGAGGATTTCTTCGCCCTTCTCGCTGTCCACGGTGCTCACGTTCTGCGTGACGCTTATGACGGCGTTCGGAAGGATCGCGGATCCGTTCAGCGGGGCGACGAGAAGATTCTTGTCGTCACCTTTCAGATCGAACGTGCCGAAGTTGACGGGAGCGATTCCGGTGATCGAGATGCCGCTGATGTTTGCCTGAATCGGAACTGGGATGTTGCTTAAGTCGATCGTGCTACCGTTGTGCGTCGGATTGAAGAACGTCAAATCTACTTCTTCGGTGCTAGAAATTATTACGCTTTCAACACAAAGAATCTTTAAGTTTAATAATATTTGCGCGCACTTACATCTCGGTCGAGTTGCTCGTATCGTTCGAAGCGTCCGTCAAGATGCCCACTTCGTACACTATAGTTTTGATCACGTACCTAAATCACATAAACAGTACAAATAAAATGTTAAAGCGACGATAAAATTGAACACTTACAGATCTTTTGGACCGGTCGAGTTGCTCAGATCTATGGGACCGTCAGCGAAGACACCTTCATCCTCTTGCATCGGTAAAGCTCTGCTTCCGCCGAAAACTAGCAGCACCAAGAACGATAAAACCTACAACACATCACTATTAAGATAAAAGTTTTCACCCCAAAAAAAACGCGAATGTTACCTGCTTCATTTTTGTTCCCTTCTTTATAAACAACTGTCGACTGAATAAAAAAGAAACGTAATACGTGTACGTTTATATGCGAATTCTGAGGTGTTAATTGAACGCGCAAACTGCGTAAGGAAATCTTCCCACTTACGTAAGACAAATATGAAAAATGTATTGAGAATGTATGAAAAACTGACTGACAAAGATCGTAAGATTTTTTGTCATAATGCGTGCAGTTTGGATCATGCTGCGTTTCTCTGTTTGCCATGGAAATGCACGTTAATGTAGATAGAGACGTCACATCGGAGAAATCATACTTCTTCCGCGAATCCGCATCTTTCTAAAATAATATTTGATTGTCTCATTACTGTCCCAACCATCCTTTCGATATAAATATTTATGAATATGACAAAGCAGTCTATCTTTCGTTCAACTGACAATAAACTCTATTAGTTTTGTTACTTTCATTATAACTTTTAGGTAAAATTCAGTTTTACAACATTGCTTAACGTTGATCATCATTTTTGGTGTTTAATTAGGGTTATCTATTGGATTTTTATAAGGATGAAAGCTATTTGATATTAATCTCCAAAGTGTGTATTATTAATAGAAATTGATAGAGAAAACAATTTGTAATTATACCACAAGTTTCAAAGAAGTTTGGTATTGTTAATATGCGAAGGAAGTCTCATCGAAAGTGTCTAATTAAAAGATACACAGTTTCTCTAGAAACCATTGATTTCTGACTCGATCATAGTAATAACAAACGAGCGAGTTATTTACTCTGTCTCTTGTTTTCGCAAACAATTGACGACTCCAATTAATTAACAAGCCGCCTGTTAATTTTACTTTTGCCATTGCGAAATAGTCTAGCTGGTTGCGGTTCAAACAATATCTTTTGTATTTCTTAATATTTTCAATTAATAATAATTACATACTTCCGAAACTTAATCTTGAAAAACACTATCTGCCTGATTATGTGAAACAAACTTATCCTATCGTAATACCTGAAAATTAGATTAGGGAGAAGTTGTATAATGAATAATGAGAATCGCATTGGGAAGAGTGTGCAGAATGAAACGAAAACAACAGGATGCGAGGGAGAGACGAGGAGGAGGAGGAAAAAAAGGCGATTTAAATTTAGTTTTGCTATCTTATCAAGTGCGACAATAAATCCCTATCTACAATACTCCATAGTTGCACGCAAACTCACTCACACACAGAGGGAGAGGAACATGCACATGTAGTTGGTGAAAAGTAGTTTTTTTATATATCTTTAAATCTTCTATCGCCATCCCAAAAAAGATGTGAGTTCAATATGGTTCCTTGCAGTGACCAATGCGTATGCATCGGAGTCTCCATCTGGACACTAGTAAGTACTAAAACGACAACAGTTTTGTGATTGTACAGTGTTGAAATTGATTGCAGTTGCAGACAGGATTGCACATCTGGTGGATCGTAGCTGGGAGGAAGCTCTTCGCCACCGATTTTCGCATCCACCAGAAGGTGCAACTCTACTTTTACCTGACCTATTTTTACAGTGAGTTTTCAATCATCCTTCTGATTGTTTGCAATCGATGTTTCAATGTTTTGTTGTAGATGACGCAAGGGACATCGAACCGATCGAGGATTACCTCAAGAGTCGTAACTTTACCGGGCTCTTGCAGAACGAAAGGAACGAAACGTTGCTGGACGTCTTGCATCTCGCGAACGCCGATCTCACGGACAAGCTGATGCTGCTCTACTTCATCTTCGATGCTCTCTGGATAATCACCTCCGTATCATTGCTGAGTACGTAATTATCTCTTTTATCCCGAAAGATGATTCCAATTTGATATTTGTTCGTATAGTTGGGACTCTGATGAGGATGAAACAATGGTCGGCCGTGTTCTTTTTCTCGCCGTGGATCATCATCGATTTCATCTCGCTGATCATGGACGTTTTCTGCGCGATCTACTTTAGTCTTCAAGTACCTAAAATGATTGTAATATAATCCATAAGTTAAATCGAAATATTAATTGATAATTTGTGCAGAGACACAATTTGGGTGAAGAGGAGGATACGTCGGTTAAAGAGATGGACTCAACGTTCGAGCTTTCAACTGCTGTGATCATGGCTATTATGTCGGGCCGTTTGGGCGTGATCTGGCTGATCAATCTGGTGCTTCTCTTCGTGGTCGGCAGAGCGACGTACCGGGCGTCCAAGAAACGGTACGCGGACGAGATGCGTCGGAGGAAGAGAAAGAACAACTCGGAGGCGCGCATCAGGAATTGGCAGCTGTTCTACGGTCCCTTCGAAGACGCCAGAAGCGAACTGAACTACTCGAACACCTTCAAAGAGCTGGAGGAGTGCAACAGAAGCACCGGCAGCCGAACCGCAGGCGACGACTTCTGCTCCACGTTCAAATCGAGTCCATGCAACGGCGATAAAGCGCGTCTCAACTCGGAACTAAGAGGACAACTGCCCTGGTCCTACCTCGAGGACATCGGTGATAAAACCAAGAAGCTGCAATCGAATGGTAACCGAATCCATCGACAACCGCGTACAAAAATCATCTAAAACTTTATCCTTTTTTTCCAGTACAAACAGCAGCCAGAGAAACGCACTTCTAAAACAAGACGAAAGAATACTTTTAAACTTATTTATTACCATTTTTATATAGATATTTTAATTTTTATTATGAATCCCATATGTAAATCCCGAAAACATGACGAAATTGTGATTCACTTGAAGCCGCCCTTTTTATCAGATAATAAAATTATTTTGATATCACTATTTATCTGCAATACACGACGACTAATCGAGTCGTTCGTTATCTGCTGTGTTCACATTGTGTTCGCCAGTTTCACGTTTCGCTTTGCTTAGGTTTCCTCGGGATATGTACAATCCGTGATGGCTATTCACCCTCTGGTCAGACCTGTTGGACTCTTCATCGCAACTCTTGGAGTCGTAAGTACCCAGAAAATGCCCAACATTCACATTTATTTCCATCTCCAACAAACTCGATATTCGTATTCTCATTGGAATTAAGTACAATCTATTATTAAGTAGATAACTACTAATCATCGTTGACGAACATTGTGAAACGAAAGATTCACGTTTACTGGAATACATCTTAATTAATAACTTGTACTAGAATCGAAGAGAAAAACAACATTCGTTTAACTATGGGAATAATGAGATTAGTTTTACCTGAGAATATTACGAATCATCTCAAACAATGGATAAATTTGTGACGCTCGAATTAACAAAATATGTTTACGAATATATTTTCTAATTAGATTTTGAAGCAATTGATTCAGAAAGTTGCCAGCATATTTCTTGAAATTGAACTGTTTAATCAAATTAATTAATAAATCAATTTCTTCAGGTGCAAGGTTTAGTCTGGACTATATTAAGTGTACTAGCAATACTCTACAGAAATGGTGTTTTGGAGGTCACAGTGGAAACTACGTACGCGAGTCGTCTCAGCGTTACGTTGAATATAATGTATTTCAGTAAGTTCCATCTAAAATCTAAATCTAAATTTAACCATCGTTCAACAATCTATAGATGATCTGCAGTTTGATATTCTTTATATGAACAATGAATCCGTAAACTACTTCGCTTACATCTACATGGTCTTATCCGTCTCTTGGTTGGCCATCTCCTCTTACGTGTTCTGGTGTAAGCACAAATACCAAAAATATTGAATGAATCATCTAATTATTCCTATCCGTAGTGCTGAGATTCAAGAAGTGGTCGTACATGAAGAAGTATTTCATCAGTTGGTTGACGATCGCTGCGTTCATCTCAATCTTGGACATAATCGTGACTATACTCTTCGCGATCGACTATGATTACGTATCATCCAATATTGAAATTAGTTTATTTACAAATGCCATGCGCAAATATGAGAATATTAGTAACTTTGATTTGGTAATCTTGTCTGTGGGGATCATGATGTCGATCGCGGCCAAAGGATACGTTCTCTTGTTACTCAACTTGATGGCCTGTGCGATCACAATGAAAATAATACTTATACTCAACAAACAGGTATGCACACGTTTGAAGTAAACCATTTGGAAAGTGTTACTATCTTTACTTTTCAAGGAGGAAACACCGGTCATCTTTCAGCAGCAGGCAGCAATCAACGCGTTTGAACCGGTTCAACGACAGTGCGAATAGAAATGTTCAAAATTATAGAAGAATTAAAGTAACGTGCTTTTTCTTTGTAGGAATTATTTCGCTGAAGTGTCGAACGATGCGGATCCGATGCCGTGGATATCGCAGGTGAACGGTGGTTTCGTGGACGACGACAGTTCTTGGAGCACGTCGATGTCCAGAACTCAGAACGAGGATCGGGTCAGCGCAAGGCGGTACGATTACAAGGGGAACCAGTACAACGCGTACGATGACTTCCCGCAGCCGAAGACGCAGGAACGACAAGTGACACCACCGGTGGCGAAGATCGGAAGAGGAAACCGCGGAAGGTCTCCCAACAAAGTGATGCCTCCGACGATACCGGCGCCGGATTACACTCCACCCTCCAGTCCTAAACTGAAGTCGGTCCTCAGGAGTAATCATCAATACGCCGCATAATCGAAGCAATAATACACACATCTATTTAATCTTAATCGTTTATAGACTTTTATTGTTTTAGATTTATTTCAACAATTATTTAAGATATTTCACATTTGACATGATTTTAATAAAGAGAGATTGCAAATGTTTTCGCGAAAGAAATTCATTGAAAACCATTGTTAAACCAAATTAAAGCTAAATTTTGGCTCTTTGAAACTCGCTGTATGCGATTCTTTTATATTGCGTTTAAAACTAATTCCAATCATATCATGTTCAATAAAATTCATCTATTTGGTTTTGCATATATAATATAATAGAATAAATAGAAATATGATAAAATTTAGTGCGACTTTCGTCCTTTAACTCTGATTCCGTATTTGAGATCCTGCGTGTAAGTGGTGGGCAAGAAATGATTGCTGTTCTTGAACGAGTACGGCAAAGGCGACAGGTTGTTGAAAGCTGTCGATGCAGACTTTTTGCTCTTAGGCGGTGGTGGTTCGTTCTCTTGAACCTCCTCGTACACTTCATACGAATTGTGCATCTTGACCGGCGGTTTCTTCGCCACCTTCTTGAAATTAACGAAATGTTCGAAATGCACCGGATGCACACTCTTCAGCGGTTTCGAAGTGGTAAAGTCCAAGAGGGGTTCTTCGGTGGAAGGTGGTTTCCTGCGCAGCTTCTTCTTTTTGATTCTGTTGCCGATGGATTGATTCGGTTCATTAGAAACCGGAGTCCAGGCGTCTACGAAATTTATACACATTTATTTATGTTTGCTTGCGGATTAAGATTAACAGACTTACTAGTGTCTACGTTGTAGGTGTGATCGAAGTTCAATTGCTCCTCCGGATAGGTGATCAAGAAATCGTGTGGATGCGGTGGTCTAGGTTTCATTAGTGCTTGAAGATCGGGACTGAAATTGTAGCGAGACGGAATTGTAAAGTCTTCGTGGACGATGGATCCGTGCGCTTCGTGATCTCGCATTTTGTGCTGCTGCATATTCGGTTTCTACAAAATCAACAAATCCTTTCTGCAATTATAGACGTCCACTTTAATTTCTTGTTTGAGACCTTTGCTGTATGTTTCTTGCTCCTTTCCGTCTTCAGGATGATCCTGTGAACATCCCTGCGTTCCTCGCACTGCACTTGCAATGCAAACAGACAGGTTGCTGCTGCTGCTGCTGCAATCAGGAGCGACTTTTGCAACATCTCTTCACTCACTATCACTTTCGCATCGCACCCGTCGTCTTTTATAATCAACAACTACCACCGGCAGACTGTGAAGAGTGCGCGCTTTGGCTGCTCTCCTCCCTCATCGTCGTCGTCAGTAAAGATTCGCGCTCCAATTCGGATCATCTGTGGCCTCGCGAATCAATTTCTCGCAGTAAAAGCGGATAATTGTTGCCGATGCCCCTTTTCTGTGGATTCCTCGATATCTAGGTTGAAGAAATCGAAAACTACTACTATACATACATAAGAATTATGGTAATGGATAATAGCTTTTTAAAAAGAAATTATGTTCAGACACACACACACACACAATGATAGCAATCGCATCTTCGCTCTCTTCTAGTGGAGAGAACAAACCCATTCGATGTTTCTCCTTTTACTATTCCAATTATAATTGTTCGTGTTTATTTTATGGTGACGAGGCTTCTGCTTCTTCATGAGAAAGCAGATGTACGTTAATCATCTACTATACTTTTACCGAAACTGATTTATTTGCATTGATTCAATTTTCAAAACTGCAGTCACACAATCAAATTTAAACAAATCATGCTTTCACTATAGGAATTGTGCTTTTACCTATAAATTAATGAAAAGTAATTTTAACTCTTAGAAAGACCATTAATTATAATCAGAAAATGAGAATGAATATTATTAACTTTCATCTTTTCTCATTTTCATATAGTAAAGCAAACATTTAACATGTTAAATATATAAAATTTTGTAAAAATTTACTTAAATTGGAAAGTTAAAAGTAGATATTCGTTTTATTACATTAGAAATTCTGAAACAATATGCATTTTAATTGCTCGAGTTGGATGGAATTACGCTATTATGATTCGAATAAATAAATGCGAGAGCACCTGCGGAACCGCAAACGCATCTGCCTTTCAAATGTGTTTGTTATTGTAAAATATATGAAAAGAGGAGGTTGTTATTGTTGCAAAAGAAAATTCTAGGTGAAAATTAAATAATTTTTATTTGGATAAATAGTTTATTAAGATTTCTGCAGTCTGTATTGTCCTCCGGAGAGGACGAGATGATGTTCCCTCACTTTTCGGTCGAGGAACTGCCGAAGTTCTTGCACGCTGCACTCGATGGTGGGACCCTGAAACGCGAACATCTTCAACATCTGGTGAATCCTCTCCAGTGGAAGCGAGTCCAGATTCATCAGCATTCCAATGATGTACGACCATATAGTCTGAAAATGGTCAATTGTAAAACTCGTGAATTTTTGTATGTCGAAGATCGGTCGCACCTGTAATTCCTCTTCGCGTTGATCTTCCGCGCTGGCCATGGCACTTTCGGATTCCTCCTCGACGACGATATCGATACCAGACGAATCGTTCTTATCCTCACCTTCCTCGATCAGATGGAACGTGTCTGGGCTGACCTCTGAGATCAACCCGTAACTCTGCCAGAAACCGATCTTCCTTCTCAAAATAGTCGACGGCATCTGCATCAACCGACTCAGCTCATCCAAAGCCCAGATATCTTTTCAACAATTAACAAATTAATTTGCAAATCCTCTTACACCTGAACAATTCAAATTACTTTTATCCTGAAAATGCATGATGATCGTTGCATGCACCGGAGCCACGGACAAATTCAGTGTTCTGTCCGGTAATTCCAGTTCCAAATCGACGATACCCAGATGCTTCTTCCATGTCAACGTGCGGTTCCCTTTCAGCATCTCGAAGCCTTTCGTGTACCTCTCCATCTGTTCATCAACGACCGCGTGCAGCTGCACCTTCTCATCCTTGAAGGCAGGCCAGAACTGCGCGGACACGACCATAGCGTTCATCGGAATATCGGTTTCAATGTATTCGACGTCCTGTTTGATGTGCTGCGAGATCCTCTTCGAATCCGCGATATCCTTCAGCATGACCTCGCAGAAGTGCAGCTGCGAATCGCCGAAACGCCGCTTCAGCAACTCCACGTAGCGAATCTCCTTCTCCGTGTCGCAGGTCAATTGCGAGAGCAAACGATCCGCAAGCAGAGTCCTGTATTCGTTGACGAACAGTTCCCTGCTTCCGTAAACGTTCACGAGCATCGATATGATGTCGTTGCTGCGGCGGGCGGATTG